GTTGCAGTGTTTGGGCGGTCGAGCGCTCAGTGCGAGCGCCGATCGACAGGCAGTGAGCGCTCGCTCTATGCGTCGCTCCGATGGGCACCGGCTTTGAGACACTCACTGCCTATAACTCAGACACTCATTGCCTAACGCTATAGCCATACAAACAATGGCCAGCAATGGCTGTGCGGTGCAGGCGATGGTGGGGTCGGGAGTGGATGTGCTATACCTTAGTTTGAAGCGCTGGTCAAGTGTTGGTCTCCGTGTGTGGCGTATAGCGAGTGGTATTGAGTGTCCAAACGGTGTGTCTGTCTGTATAGGAGTCACACTTCACTCCGACATTACGTTCATTGCATTCAACGCTCAAAACAGGCGTTCACTCCAACCAAACGGCGTCACACATCACACCCACTGCGCGTGCGTCAGCTCAACCCATTCGCATATTGCGTTACCCAACACTCCACGAGTCCCCCACTCGCGCCCCCAAACATTGCGCGGCACTCCCGGCGCTCATTTGAATGACCAGTTGTTAGTTAATTGCATGACAATTTACCATTATCGATTATCACTCAGTTGACATACAGTGTAGGTAATGTAGGTTAATCACAAAAGCCAAGTTAATATTACCGGTAGTTTGTTTTTATTGAGATGTTTTATACAAATTCTGGTATTAATATTGAAATTGATTTAAAGTTACTTCAATTATATGTAAAATAAAATAGATTTTGAATCAATAATTGGTGTGAAAGAAACTAAAACCATTAATGTTAAACACAATGCAAATCCAATACAATATAACAACTCATTATTAAATTAAATACTGTTTTATTGAGTAATAATTTGTTTTTAATAATTATGGTTAAAATATAATGATTTCAATTAAATGGCAAATAATTTGAGTAAAAATTGTTGGACACAAACTGAGCGCTTAATTGGCGTCATTGAGTTTGTACTGTCCGTTAGTGTAAATCAATTTCTGTTCCTTTACTTTGGACTCCAAGAACTGCCGCAACTCATGAGTTGTCAACTCATTGGCGTTCGTCGAAGAGATGGCAAACATTTGGAGCATCTGATGGATGCGCTCGAGTGTCAGCGAATTCAAGTTCTGCAACATATTCAACACAAAACTCCAATACACTGACAGCTTCTCCTCCCTCTCGTCCACCGCAGAGGCGGCCATCTTATCGTTGGCTAAATCTTCGTCGAAGTCGTTCTCGACGGCCATGTGATGGCCGCTATCAGTGGCGGCAGTCGTATGGCTGGACATTATGCGGTCGTCTTCGACGAGAACGAACCGATCGGTTGCCGTCTCTTTCAAAATGC